AAACGTCTATAGATTGATATATCTGTTTTTTTTTAAACGTCTATAGATGGATGTATCTGTTTTGGGTAAACGTATATAGGTGAATGTATCTGTTTTTGTTAAACGTATATAGGTGAATGTATCTGTTTTTGTTAAGCGTCTGTAGATTGATGTATCTGTTTTTGTTAAACGTCTGTAGATTGATGTATCTGTTTTTGATAAACGTATATAGGTGAATGTATCTGTTTTTGTTAAATGTATATAGGTGATTGTATCAGTCTTTGTTAAACGTCTGTAGATTGATGTATCTGTTTTTCTTAAACGTCTATAGATGGATGTATCTGTTTTGGGTAAACGTATATAGGTGAATGTATCTGTTTTTGTTAAACGTATATAGATTGATGTATCTGTTTTAGTTAAACGTCTGTAGATTGATGTATATGTTTTCTTAAACGTATATAGGTGAATGTATCTGTTTTTTGTTAAACGTCTGTAGCTGTATGTATCTGTTTTTGTTAAACGTATATAGATGGATGTATCTGTTTTTGTTAAACGTATATAGGTGAATGTATCTGTTTTTGTTAAACGTACGTAGGTGAATGTATATGTTTTGTTTAAAGTAGTAAATAACATATCATGAGTTGATTTTTATATTTCACTGACATACTTTATGTTTGTTCGTGTTTCAACAGTTGATGAGATAAAGTATAAATTATTTACATAACTTATTCATGAAATGAAAGTATTAAATTTTTAGTTGATATCATGCTTAAAGTTCTCCCCCCCCCCTTGTTTTCCCTTAGGAGAAAATTGAACGTGAATTTGTCGCAGTTTTTGAATGAGAGATTAAAGTGGAATATTCGTGACGCCGTTGGTTGGAAATGTTTTCATACTTTATCGTGTGGATGAAAATCCACATTACTATTTCTTACGCATTAAAAACATCGAATTATATATTTGGTTTTTGAAATAAGGAACTCCAATAAGTATTTGGCACTTGAAGTACATATGTTTCTGTTTTTATTTTTGTAACATTTTGTTAGAGATTAAAGTTCAATTACAGTTTAAATTTCGAGATTCAATATTTTACCCTTTGAGACAGAGTTTGATGACAATATATATTATGCATTGCAACAATTCTTCTCCGTATACTAGCGTATTTCGTAGTGATTTACGAACTAGCATTCTGTAGGATTTGTAACGGGTGTGGATACATCAAGATCTCTCGAAGTAAAACGATTTCTGAAATCAGAATTTTTAAGACTTGGCTTATACGTTTACAAGACAGTATGAAAAAAAAAACCAACAAGAAATGTGAATTTTGGTATTTCGTGAGATCACTTTATGTAGAGCACTGATCAGTCCAAATGTGGGTTTCGTGTTAAATAGCTAATTATCTCAAAGTTCTCAAAAACCAATTCATCTTGAGTACCTTATTTTATTGTTCATTTAAGACATTATTTAAATCTAAAACGTGCATGATCAGCGAATATTATTTATACTTTTGTGTTTCAATTGAACTAAAATTATTCTAACTACATTTAGTCATTCCATAAAATGTGTCACTGAAAAGGTTAATTGAGATATTAAAAAAAGAAGACTCGAATGAGAAAATAAAACAACTCCTGTTTCTCTTGGATGTTAAACACATCTTGCAAAATTCCTTCCGCAAAATCTTAAAACAGAACAAGAGGGGTTGAGTATTAGATGTCACTAATTTTTATTTATTGTTAAATATTTTTCTTAACATACCAAATGCTATCATTTTGAAGGATGGCTTAGACGATGTTTTAAGTAAAACAAAAACAATATTCTTATTTTTTAGGACAAACAAAGTATTTTCAGGATTTTTTTTACGTTAGAGTCTAGCATATCAAGGTAGCCTTTTACTGAAAAAAAAATATTGTTTTAGATAAATCATAGTATTTATATTCATCAAATCTTTAGATAATCTACCAGAAATAACATCAATTTACATCGAGCAGCATCGGATCGCCTAATCTTTCTAAGAACTTGAAATTTTCCAGAAATACAGCAGATGTTGTTGCCATAGCAAGTGCGATTTTATAGCGTTCTTCTAGCTGTAATAACACAAATCTATCACTACTACCCATATCCGATTCTGAATGGGAATCGTGGCAGATTCTGCTGTTAGCTAATGCTTATAGCGACATCTCTTGGAGAGTTAGATTACCACCCTTTGCTTTAATTAATCCGAAACTTAATGATTAGTTAAAATACTTTTAGATAAATATATTTTCGTATAAATTATGTAAAATTTACCTGTAAAAACACATACAAAGTAATTATAATAAGTTGATTTTATCACAGTTGAGAATTAGTTACATATATATAAAAAAAACCATAATCTTATTAATATTACTCACGTTTATACTATTTTATTTTATTGTTCACCTTTTACTAACATTTTTATGACCTTATTTAATTAAGATAAATGCGTTTACTATTTATAGTTCGTCTGGGTTGGTGACTGTATGAATTTGATTGTGTAACAAACCAAAATCGTCTTCAGGCTACTACAGTCCAAACAACAACAACATCTAAAATTAGTGCATGAAACATTAAATAACAGTGATGTTGGTTGTAGGTCACTTTCTATAGAATTGTTGTCAGCGCAAAACACCAAATACAAATTCATCTGGAGAGATATCCACTTTTCCTTCTGTTGAGTTGTGGACCAGTTTGCATGAATTGAAAGAGTCAGTGAAGATGACGACGTCACAAGACGTGTCTTTGGAGCACGAGGAAAAACACAGGTGCATTGGGACTGAAGTAAACTGTTCTGTTACCCTACCAGAGAGGATCTTGGGTTCTATAGATACAATCTTCGTGTCTGCAAAACGTAAAATAACACTTTGTTTAAAATTAATTGAAACAGAAAGTCCAATCCAACACGTGCGATGCATTCCCATTACTTCTATTTTATCTAGCGGGCTTTAAAATTAGTTGAAATGGTTTGTTAACAGTATATTATTTGAAAGACGTACATTTAACATGAATTGTTAATTTTAAATGTTACTTCTCCATTTGGCTAAATTTTGGATCGAACATGAAGAACATTATTTTTACAGACGTTGAATACGTTATATTTATACAACTTTGGAGCTTTACTTACTTACTTACACAGACTTTGAATATTGTTACGTCTCTGTTCGTTAGTTAATTTTCCGTATAATTTCTTTCCGAAGAAACTTTAGCGATACTAGTCCTTTCTTAAATAAAACTGGTTTATTCTTTCTAAATACAACTTTGCAATACACTTAATTTCCACAGTCACGCTATAACAAACGCTATAATTCACAACGAACACGTACTCGACTCAATCGTCAATCTCTGTCTGCAGTTCAATTACATTGTTGCCGTCAGTTCTTACCGGTCTTATATATATAAGAATACCGCATATCTAGTAACCTCCCGAGACTTCAGGAAGGGAC